TTTTATTTTAATAAAAATAAAATTAAATTCCAAAAAGATTAGAAACCCAACCACACACCACGCACCCAAGCCCAGCCCGCCCGACCGGACGGACGGCGGCGCGCGCGCGTGTGTGGTGATTTTTGGGTCCAATGGGTCTAGCCCATTTTGCCCATAACCTCTCCCTCTAAAACACTTGGGTACCCCTTGGGGCACACCCCAAGTATCTCACCCTAAGCTTTATAAACCCTTTCAAAACCTCCCACCAAATCAATGTGGGACAAGCCAATTTACAACCTTAAGAAATTTCCACCAAAACTCCATTTCCATGGAGCACACTTTGGCTTCAATTTCCCATTCACTCGGTAATGGTTTTGAGCAACCAAATATACCACGTGAATCACAACGCGGCATAGAACGCGTTACCACTTTGACCCGAGTAAATCGACACTCGGGGCCCACCTAAAAAATAGACCGAACTTAGGAAAAAATTCTGGTTTTATCCAGAATTTTATAACCATTCCAACACATAATACCGTCGAAACCGCTGAAACCGTCAAATCGCACCGAACCACACCGCCAAGGCAAATTCGTTATTATTTGCCAATCAAATTGCCGGTTTTTGGTAAGAAAAATAGCAAATTCTAGTGACACTTTTATCAATCCGCCGGTTTCTATTTTTCTTCCAAATCGCACCGACTCACACCGCTATTAAATCATGTTTTATAAGATTCTAAAAATTCTTTTTTACTTAAGTTTGCTTGTTGTTCTATACCTTAGAATATAGTATTACATTACTGCTCGAGGGGAATTCAAGATGTCAGTAATCCAAAATAAAAGTTGGATTCCAATTCACTTTTCAATCCTTTTTTTTTTTTCTGGCCATGTTGCAAACTTGCATCAGCTCATTTTTCAATCTAAATACTTTTCAACAGTAAACATTTTCAATATATTGTAAACCCTGAATGATATTAATTTTATGTATTGTATTTGATCATTGTAGCTTCCACAGATATTTGTAATGAACTGGTGGCATAGTCGTTAATATTATCATGTTGTTGTTACACTTACTGCATCAGAAGAAAGCTTCGCAAGATGCTTAACATCACGGTATCTCTCGTCTTTTTTTTACTCTATGATTTAAGTTTTGTAATTTGAATATTTTTTATAAACCGCCAATCCGCCCGAACCGCTAAGGCAAATCCGTCATTATTTGCCAACCGAACCGCCGATTTTTTATAAGGAAAATGATAAATTCTGGTGACACTTTTATCAATCCGCCACCCGCCATACGATTTCTATTTTTCTCTCAAACCGCACCGACCCGCACCGCGCACACCCCTAGATATAATTGAGATCGAGTACATGAGTCAAAATTTATAATCAAGAATCACTGAGTTAGTTCAGTAACAGAACTTGTATTTTTTATTAGGAGGTTGCGGGGTTAAAATAAAATAAATTGTAATCAAGACATTTTGCCAAAATTATATTTGGCATTAACCTATTTAATAAAAACAAAATAAACAAAGGGTTTGGTTTGGTGCAATCTAAGTCACAAGAGTGCAATAATTGGAGTAAACTATTAGGATGTCAACCTGGCCACTACTTGACATATTATTGTGGGAAATATTTAATAAATGCTCTCTTAATTGGAAACCATTTTTAAATTGGGGTTGATACACCAAAAGGCAAATTGATCAGTACAGCAAAAAATTGAATCAAATAAAAATGAAAATAGAAGTATGCGACTCTTTATAGTTATCTTATTATCGCTCTTAATCTAAAAATAAATAATAATTTATAAGAGACTTACGGTAAGTCCTACTAAATTGATATATTATTCAATAGGTGTTAAAATCTACCATCACCTACTCCACCTACTACACCTACCACCACCTACTTCCACCTACTACACACCTACCACTACCACCTACTACCACCTACTCCACTACATCTCCTATATAAGAAGTCCCTCACCATTTGTAATAGAAAAAATACATCAATCAATAATACAATCAATTTTATACATTGAATTTTAACATGGTATCAGAGCAAGGTTAACAACCTAGTCATTCTGCTTCACCGGCGGGCGGCAGCCTCGCCTTGGCTGCCCGCCGGACCTCTACACATACCTTCACTCCGCTGCCACATTTCTTGCTGCTGGAGTTTTGTACTCATCCCCGTGACCTCTCATGTGCATCCTTAAATTAGCATCTCTCTTGAATCCCTTTCCACATATCATACAGAAATAGTTTTGTTCAATCTTGCAACTACCAGCTAGATCAACATGGTTGGACTGATCAGAAACTTTTCTTCCACCAATATTTTGTTGCACAGCACTGCCGTTTAAATTTGGCCCAGAAGGAAATATGACTCCACCAAGCTGCCCAAACTGGGTGATCGAAGGATTTGTGTAGCGGGTTTGCTTCACAGATGGGAGAAGACTACCTGCAATGGAAATTAGTTGAACAATAATCGAAGCGAGATCAGCAGTGATAAGCTGTTGTTGCTGAGACACAAGTTCATCAGAGCGAGTCACAACTTGGCCTCTCCGGCTAACAACCAGATGCACCAAATCCTGGAGTTGATGGATCTTTTGTTCGACGAATGAGAGGTTGTTTAGCATCGCTCGTGGATCCCAATCTTGGATTCTACTAGAATCACACATTTCATTCCTCTCTCTCTCTCTTCTCTCTCTCTCTCGGCATCGAGTCACCAAAGTCTCCTCCTCCGTAGCTTCGGCGACACCACCGCAGCACCGTCCTCCCGCTTTCCTTCCGTCTCGCCGGAAAACCAGCTCCACCGCAAGTGCTCCAAACCGCCTGCGGAACTCCGGCATACACCTCCCCGGCCCTCTGCTTGGATCGCATCATGAAACTTGCTGACAACTGCACTGGCCTTCACGGTTTCCTTGTTTTCCACGCTGTTGGTGGTGGTACTGGTTCTCGTCTTGGATCGCTTCTTTTGGAACGTCTTTCTGTTGACTATGGCAAGAAATCACAGCTCGGTTTCACTGTTTATCCCTCACCGTGGAGCCCTATAACCGTGTCCTCTCAACCCACTCTCTCTCTCTATTTTCCTTTTGGCAGTTTGAAGGGATTATTGTGGGTTTCGCAAACCTCGTCTGCGGGCTGTGTGTAGGAATTATTGGCAGCAGCTGTGCATTATCTGATGCCCAGAACTCATCACTTTTTTGTGAAGATTCTTGTGCTTGCAATCTTTGGTAGTGCCCTCGGGTTGTTTGGAGTAATAGTCGAAATAATCATGTCGGCTCCAGCAACAAGAAAGGGCAGACTGCATTACCTTTTTCTCTCTCTTCTTTTTGGCAGTTTGCAAACACATGGGCATGTCCCTCCGCCCATGCTCCCATCATTTTCCTTTTTCATATATATTATTATTCCGCCACATAATACCACTTTCTTAATTTCTTCATTTATTCTATACTTTAATAACTTGAATGGCCTCACTTTTCCACCACCTCCTTTTTTTTTTCTACCCAATATTTTTGTCCCACCGCCCACTCCATGCAATCCTTTTTTTTATTATTATTATTCTTATTACTCCGAGTTCCATCCCTCTCATCCATTATATTTTATGTTCTATATATATCTATATGTATGTACATTCCAACCACTTCTGATTTTTCAACATTTTCTTTTATTTTCTTTCCACAAAACAAACCCAACACACAAGAAAACAAAAAAAAAAAAAAAACAAAAAAAAAAAAAACAAAACACCAAAACAAAACAAACACCAAAACATTTGTTTTCTTTTCTGCAGACGGCCACCCACCGACCTCACTTCCACTACTCTGCCGCCGGTCTCTTCTTTTTGCCTCCGTCCTGGGCGGCCCTTGCCGGTGTTGCCTCCGTGTTTCCCACTCCACTGGGCATGATCAGTACTCCCTGCTCCTCCACTGCAGCATATGGCGGCCCTCCCAATCGGAACATAAAACTGGCCTTCCGTTTCAGCTTCTTGTTTTCCGCCTTTAGCACACTTATCTCTGCTCGCGCATCCTTATACATGCGTTGGAGCAGAGCCAGTTGGGCGTTTAACTGCTGCACCTCATTTGTCCTACTCTGAAGTCGGTGCGACAAGTTTGTGACCGCCGTCATGCTCTCCACACATGACTTCAATGTATACTGATTGGCCTCAATATCCGTTTGCACTGTCATTCTTTGCTCTACAGACCGCATAGGGAAGTTCAACGGAGCAAACTCAGGGGCGCTTGGTTGAGGTTCACGGGCAACCGCACCGGTTATCTCTCTTGTGGACTCGTTGAGGTCGGGAAAGAGAGTGAGCAGAGGGCGGGAAGAAGAAGCCATTTTCTGGGCAACAGAGTGTTACAGAGTATCTCTCTCAGAACACAAAGAGTTTTTAAGAGGTTTTTTAGCAGGTTTTTGTCTCAGCCTCAGCCTCAGCCTCCGTCTTGGTTAAATAGCCAAGGCAGACACGCGTATCGTGCGCCGCTCGGCGCTAGACGACAACATGGGCGCGCAAGCCAAAGTAGTCACGCGCTTCGCCATAATGTCCGGCACACCTTTTTATGGATTGGGCACGCCTTTTGATGGCACGCCTTTTGACAGATTGGGCACACCTTTTGAGGGTGCGACTTTTTAAGGGTCCGACAAGACTCTGTAAACTGTCCCGACATTGATTCCGGTTAGTTTCTACAAGGGTCCAGCAAGACTCCGTAAACTGTCTTCTACACCGGTCCGACATGACCCCATAAACTGTCTTCTACATCGGTCTGACACGAGCCAGTGTCTTCTACATCGGTCTGCCATAACCATACAGTCTTCTACAACGGTCTGACACGACCATACAGTGTCTCCTATCCATTTTTTATTTTTCAGATTATTTTCTTGTTTTGTTACTCTCTCCAAACTCAAGTTGGTTAGTTCCTATCCCCCTTGAGTTTGCGGGGGGCTGTTAAAACCTACCATCACCTACTCCACCTACTACACCTACCACCACCTACTTCCACCTACTACACACCTACCACTACCACCTACTACCACCTACTCCACTACATCTCCTATATAAGGAGCCCCTCACAATTTGTAATAGAAAAAATACATCAATCAATAATACAATCAATTTTATACATTGAATTTTAACAATAGGCCTATAATAACTAAGGAGAAAATTATCCTAAGTTTAATAGATAAGGCACTTACACTGAGCAACATATATGATGTGTGCATTTTTCTTTATCAATATTTTTAGGAAAAAATATTTATAAGTCCTATTAGGGAGACTTATGCTACATATGGTTCTGCTAAAAAATTTATGTTTCCATAAGTCTTGTGGGAAGTTTGTTGACATATTTACCCTCAATATTAGTTGTTAATATCATAAATAAAAGTAAAACCATATATAGGAAATTGAATGTTACCATAGATCATATCTGTATAAAGGTAACGTAACGTAACGTAACGTGACACCTACATAAACGTAACGTGACACCTATGATTTATGGTAACATGCAATTTCCTACTATAGATCATATTTGCATAAACGTAACGTAACGTGACACCTACATAAACGTAACGTGACACCTATAATCTATGGTAATATTCAATTTTCTAGCAACATTCAATTTCCTATCTACATAAACGTAACGTAACGTGACACCTACATAGACGTAACGTGACACCTATGATCTATGGCAACATTCAATTTCCTATATATTTATATGAAACGTAACGTGACACTAACATAAACCAGTAACATTTTCACATTCAATTTAAAAAAATAAAAACTCATTAGGTTTGCAAAACGTAACGTGACATGTTACGTTCTGTTTATATAAGTGTCACGTTACTTTACATTTATATAGGTGCCACGTTACGTTACGTTACGTTTATGTAAGTGTCACGTTACGCTACGTTTATGTAGGATCTTGTGGGATACATTCATATCTAAATAGGACTTGAGACTCTATAAGAAATTACACTAGTCTGAAAAAGAACTTATAAATAAGTCTCCCATATTTTTATAATATTACCTTTTTTTAGAATTGTAATAATAAAAATTTAAGTACACTTAATTTAAATGAAAAATAACAGTGTGTTTGGTTGGAGTTTTCTGGATTAAGTTTTTTGAAAACTGTCTTTTTTAGTTTTCGTGTTTTTTTGTTTTTAGTGAATATTTTTTAAATTTTAAACATTTTTTTTTTATTTTTTTAGATGCAACTTACCTAGATGTATCTAAAAAGTAAAAAATTTGTGAAAAAATATTTTAAAAAATTAATAAATACATAAAAATATTTAAAAAAATGTACTGAATTCTTGTATTTTTTTTATATTTTTGAATTTAGTGAATTTTAAAAAAAAAAATTTACAATTTTTTTACTTTTTAGGTGTATTTATGTTCAGTGTGTCTAAAAAATAAAAAAATTGCTTAAAATATTAAAAAAATTCAGTAAAAATAAAAAAAAAATACGAAAAATAAGAAAGTAGAATTTTCTAAAAAGTGTTTTTTGAAAACTGGAAACAAGCAATGCATCCCAATTCAACTCTAAAATGTATATATAAAGCATACAATTGAGAGAATAAAAAAGTCTGTCATCTGTTAAGAACAAACAGCTTGTTTGGTTTTGATTTTCAAAAAATTTTACTTTTTTATTTTCTATATTTTTTTTTTTGTTTTCAATGAATTTTTTTTAATATTTTAAGCATTTTTTTTAGACACATCTAACATAAATACACTTAAAAAAATATAATATTTGTGAATTTAAAAAAAAATCACTAAATACCAAAAATATAAAATATAAAATAAAAAAAATACGAAAATTCAGTACATTTTTCGTATTTTTTGATATTTATTAATTTTTTAAAATATTTTTCACAAATATTTTACTATTTAGATACATAATGCATCTTAAAAAATAAAAAATAAAATTTGCATACAATTTTAAAAATATTCACTAAAAACCAAAAAAATATGAAAAACAAAAAACTCAATTTTCAAAAAACTAAAACCAAATCCATTGAATAATGCTAAAAATACAAAAAAAAATTATCAAATAAATAATCAAATATCTCACTTCAGTGTGGAAGCTTTTGTGGATTGACACATATAGCATTTTTCATATATATTTCTTCAAATCAGCCACCACACAATCAATGTAACCTCACAATCAGCATGCATGCTTCCCCAGTGCCACACACATATATAAATAAATATAATATATAATAAACATAATGTATTATTATTATTATACTCTGCCACACTGTCTTTCTTTGAATGAATTACCTATATTTTTGGGATTGTTGTACCCAAATAAAAACGAGAAGCCAAATTGACTTGCGCATGCTAAGATCACACTTCAAAAGGATAACTTTATGCATTCAAATAAATATATAATCAATAAAGATGACGTCCCAAAGTATAATTGTCAAACCCTAATTTCTACTTTTCCTAATTGATGTAATTTGAGTCATCTCTTTTCATATCACAACAAATTTAAATAAAATTAAATAAAAATATGAATAAATAAAATTATGTTAACCTTTGACAGATGTGACTTTGAGAAATCATAAATTAAAAAAGGTGAAAAAAAATAAATACATTAATTATGTTTACGGTCACTCCAAACCTATCTTATGATAAAGAATTTCTAGAGTGTCCTTTATCTTTCCCTGAAATTTTTCTGAATCTGTTTCCATTCAGTCATGTTGACTTTATTTTAAAATTCTAAATATAAAATAAAAGACAATTTTGATTAATTACATAAAGAACAAAACACATGTTATACACAGTTTTATATTAAGACAATAACAAAAAATCTATATTGGAAAGAATATATAAAGACAATCTTGTTTACATAATAAATATAAATAAAACCTATTTCTATGCTTATCAAGTGAAACTTACTTAAGTATTTTATTTGAGAAGGATGAAGATGAGTGAGATGAGAAGAGAGAGAGCATTTTAAACAGACTTTACCCAGTCTATAATATTAATAAGGGCTGTGTGCCTTAGAAGATGTGATAGAATGAACTCAAACAGTTTTCCTACTGTCAATATCCTCAGTCCATATATAAAGCCCATTGTGCCACCATTGGCCTTGTTTGTGCGTCATGATTGAAGTAAATATTAACCGGTCATTATTTGGGCTCCTCAAATGGGTTGCTTGCTATCACTACAAGCCACTCTGAAGAATATTTGCTATCAGTAATTCCTGATTCATAGTTAAGGCAGTCTCTCAATTGCTCCCTCCTTTATTGTTTTCTAAAGAAATTCCCCCACAATTCCAACGTAAAACTTTATTCCTCTTTCTATATAATTGATAATTAATATTATATTTCATATTG